GGAAGTGAGCAGTTGCAACACTTTGGCCGGGCCTAAGTAAATTGACATGTTCTGCTCCATAATGAAGCGATCAGTGGCAGACGCAGGCCACATTCCGGGCCAAAGAAACTGAGGCTCTGCCTACGCCTATTCATAAATTTCGGCCCAGCCTGCTGATTTGTCAGCATTAGAGAATTGGGCAGGATTGACACTGACAGAGACTGGATTTTTGGTAACTGGCAAATGGATGACAACGAGCAAGGACAACGGCGTGCTATGACGCAGGTAGCGGCAACTAGGCATCCCACTTATTCGCATTGTCTCATCTCTCTCAGCTCAGCTTCCAGCTCTAGGCTATTGTTCGGCTCAATGCGCATTTTGCGAACGTCTGTCTGGCCGGCCTGGTGTGTGTTTGCTTTTGCTTTTTTGCAAGTGACAGGCAGCTCAGCTAGGCCAGCAAATGGCAAGCGTGAACATAATTATGGTCCTCAATCTGTTCTCAGAATTTTCAAGCAACTTCAACTCCAACGCAACAGGCGCACACTGTGCCGTCCAATAAAACTCTATTCGTTGATACGTGGAATTATGCCTGCTGCTTGGCAGGACTCATATTGCTAGATGGCCATAAATTAGAGACGCAGCCTCGCTCAAGTTGATAGAGCTGCTGTTCCTGTGGCGCAGAAGGGGAGTCCTCAGCGTGCCAGGCAGGTTGATTCAAGTATCAATGACTGGCTCTCTTGATATATTTAGTTTATCTGCCTCTCATTCAACATCTTATGCTATTTCTGTTCACTTTCACTGATATGAATAGCCTTTCAGTTCCACAATTCATTATCATGCTAAGGTTTGCTTACCTTTTGGCCTCTATTTACCCAACAGTAGCCTGTCCGTGACATATCATGTCTCGGTTTTTTTTTTTTTAGACGACTCATGCCAACACATTTCCTTGGCAAACAAGAATGTAATTTCCTGTATTATTTATTTACTTTTAAGTAGTCCTACGACACACAGATATACACACAATCATAATTCTCCTGCTCGGCTCCCCGGAAAACTGGCGCATCATGCCGTGGAAAATGTCCTGACAGCCGAACTCATTCATAAATCAAGGCAACATCGATTGTTAATTTTCGATACATCCTGAGCATGTTCTTATTTATTTTTATACTTTTTGTGCCCTTCGAGGGAAACCTCTTGAGTGCTTCTAAGTTACTAAAAAACTGCTTCCTCATGGTTATTTCAGCATGAATGTATTCGGAAATATGATAGTCCCTGACTGCGAGCTCTGGACAGCTGACGAATACTGAAATGGAGTGGGCTGTGGGTACTCCTTGTGCTTCTTGCAGTTGCATTTTTTATGACCTTGTTATCTTTAGAAATATTTGAAGTGGGAGTAAAAATTTTTATTAATAAGCAAATTGGTTCATGGAGGGGGAGAAAGTCTTAACCAAGCGATTTGTAAGTGGTTTATAACTCTATATAAAATCTTAGCCTGACTCATTTGGATTCTATTTAACCATAAAATTTCAGGTCAAAGAATTTTCCATAATTCCCATGGCCAACTAAACTGAGATTGGGCAAAACGAAATGTAGTTTCGAGAGAATTCCAAAGAAGAGTTCTTAAAACGTGTTGCAGCAATAAATATCAATTAACTGCGATTTAGATACCAAAGCGAGTCACGGGCTACGCTCAGAACATTCGAAAATCAGGCTAATTGCAGCTAGCCGGTGGTCCGGCAGAGCTCTGAGAGAGAGAGAGAGAGAGAGAGAGAGAGAGTGCAAGCCAAAGGAAGTCGTAAAATTGATAAGGACACAAAATGAAAATGCGCTGCAGGAAAAACTAAGCGATTAGGGAAAGTGACCAAAGTGGCCAGGTCACGTTCCAATCGTGTCAGATGACTCACACAGTGCTCTGTGGAATGTGCTGGCCACAGCTATAACTACAGCTACAGCTACAGCTACAGCTACAGCTTCAGCTACAGCTACAGCTACAGCTTCAGCTCTTTGTATTTCATTCTGCGTGTTATCAGCCGCCGTCGTCGTCTGCTGTTGATAACCAGCTACAAATTTGATGACGCAAGCGTTGACGGCATCGACGACACAACTTGCCTAATCCAGGGGAATTTCTTCTAGTTGCTGCCTCTAATTTGTTGCTCACTTTGTTTGATGCTGTGACGCTGTCGGCTCTTTGAACTTGCTCATATTCGGTTTATCTGCTCACCTCCTCGACTATGACACACTAGTGTCTCTGCCTTATCAACTGCTCGGTGTGGTCCTTATCGCCGCACTTGCTGCCGTCCACCTCCGTCGCCACACAGCATCGGTGTGGCCTCTCTCTATAAATATTTGCATGCGTCTGGCCCAAACAACTAGTTGTTGGCATGCGTTGTTCTTTTGTCTTGAACTCTGAAGCGAGGCGGATTTTTGTTTATTTAGCCAGAGCGCGACCCTGACCTGCGCCAAGTCTTTGTAGTCTCTGGGCGTTATCTGCATGTGTTAGCTAAGCAATATCACGTCGCAGTCTCTAATATTTCTTGGTCAAGATTTTAAGGAAATAAGTTGAGTAAATTTTGCTCATTGATATTAAAATATGAAGCTGTAGTTTATGGCCGTAGAGTATGGAATATGAATAGCATGAAACTGAGAGCGCAAAATACACAAATATCTTATCTTATCTCATCTATCATTATTTAATCATATTTAATTTAGTACATAATTTAAATATCATATACAAATTGTGGAAAACTAGTCAGAGCAAGACCTAAACTTTGGAATACTCATTTCGATATAATAATGTAATGTAATTAAGCTAATGTAATAATGTATATTAGCAAAGTGTTGCTTAGATCTATTAAGTAGTTTAGTTAGCTTACTTAACTTATAGCTTTCTTTTCTATACCATGTTTGGATTATTTTTCTCCATCGGATTTGATATATTTTAGATAGATTAAAAAAAAAAAAAAAAAAACAAAAAATACAAAAAAAAACTAGCATAGTAAGTAATAAAGAAAAGAGTATATACTAGATATGTATACATATATATATTTGTTATAACTCTGCAAATATATTGTAGTATAAATTGCATTAGAAGCTATGAAATATCGAAAGCGAATTGTTTAGGAATATTAAATTATTTGTGTTTATAAATACATATGTATGGAGAGATTTACTAAAACAGTAACATGATATAGAAGAAAGAACAAGTATACATCTTTGTCTCTTTGCCCCATCGAATTCTTCATAACCCTGCTGAGAGTATAAATTGCAATACAGAATAAAGCTTTGATTTTCTATACCATGCTAACTTTCATTCCTTCATCTAATGTGCTATAAATTGCATTAGAGACTCTAGCTATGAAATATCGGCAACGCAACAGTTTCAAATTTTTATGGCCAAATCATAAACACGAACGGCGCCTGATTAAAATTTCATTTCGCACTTTCGACTGGGTGGCTGTGATTGTTCTATTGCCAGTGCCAGTGCCAGTGCCAGTGCCAGTGCCAGTGCCAGTGGCAGTGCCAGTGGCAGTGCCAGTGCTAGAGCCAGTGCGCGAGGCCCGCAAAATGTGGGGATCGTAAAGAGTGCAGTTCGGAAACCGCAACGCGTCGTCTGCACTGCAATGCAGCACCAAAAATGTCAGCGGTACTTCAAGTTTTATGGCATTCGCCGCAAACGGCCATGAGAATATATCTAAACGGACTGGCCAGGGGCTCTGCGGCTGGGCTGGGTTGAGTTGGGCCTGGCTCTAAATTCGGTTAGGGCTAAAACGTAAAACTTTTATGGCTGGAGCAGCGCGCGTGGTAGAAGCTCAGCAAAGGCAGCGACGGCAACAGCAACGTCGACGACGACAGCAACAACGACAACGCCAACGACAGCGTCTACGTCAACGTCAGCATCGTAAACAAATTTTGCCCGTAATTAATTTTGCATGCAAGTCAGCTAAAGACAGCAAGATGGAAACTGAACCTGCGAGACAGACTATATAGCAGCTACTATATACAAGGTATTTATGTATGCATGTATATAGTGCGTAGTTGTTGTATCGTCAGTTGTCGGCCGTCTGACGTTTGCTGTCAGTTTTGGGAGTTAATAAACGACGCACACGGCAGCTGATTTTGAATGCCGGCTGAACAGTTCGGGCAGCCAATTTTGATATGCCAAATGTGTCGCTAAATGATTCTTCTTTTTGTTGACTATGGCCCGTCAGGCACCACCGCCGACTGCCGACCGCCCACCGCCCACCTCCCAGCGGCACCTACACCCTTAGCGGCTCATCACCTGTGCGTGCGTTGCGCATACGTCCCGTGTGTCCCATGCTGGCTGGTATTAGCTTAGCGACTTGGCTTCGGTTCGGCTTGGTTCGGTTTTGTATGCAAATTGCCTGTCAATGGGCAACGGTGGGCCGGGGTGTGGGTGGTTGGTGTAGTGTGGTGTGTGGTGCTGGTGTTGACTGCTCTGGCTGTTTGCATACGCCCCATGGAAAACTTTGGCTCCAACAGATCGAGAGCTGCGTGCGAGGTTCAAGTTTTAAGTTTGCATTGCATTTATCAGGCAGCTCATTAGTGTGCTTGTTTGCCTTTACCGTTGTTGCTGTTGTTGTTGTTGTCGCTGCTGCTCTAGCATTATTTATTTGACATTTTTAACACTTGGCGTTGACAGTTTGCCGTGTTTTGTGCCTTTTACGCTAGTCACATTACGTACTCAAATTTGCCAAACAAGCGTAAATCAGTTTGCTGCATTGCTATTGCTGTTGTTGTTGTTCTTTTTTGTTACTTTTTGCTTATGCTGTTAATTTTTGTTGACTTTACATGTTAGCTGCTTGTCTGTGTCCTCTCCATGCGAATGCAACACATACAACAGATTGCCTAGGCAAATGTCGCAGCTGTTGCAGCTCTGAGATCAACAAGAGAAGGTACTCGACGTGAGCACAGCTGAACTAGATCAACGTGCTGCGAGATCGAGTTTGCCGTGACTCTAAAGGCGCTTTAAAATAGATGGAAAAAAAATATATATATATATATATATGATTACACACACATTTTTCATCACATTAGACACATTACACATCATCATTGTTTAGTTTCATTTTCATTTTTCCGTTCACACTGATAGCGAATGGCATTGATGTTGGATTGATCGGTCCGGATCCGGGTGGATGACGAATTCAGTATGTATCACGCGGACTCCTCTTACAATGCATACAGGAGGAGTCGGCGCAAGTTTTCCCTAATAACATATCTGTTGCTGGGGCTATGGCTGATACTGGCTCTGGGGCAATGGCTGTTGCTCACAATGCTGTAAGTCGAATTGGAGCTGGACTTTTATAGATGATTTTTACATTTATTTTACTGTTACTCGACTTCAGTCTAGATATGAATCTGACCTTCCGGTTTTACTATTATATTAGCATTGTCGCCTTCCTGCTGGCCATTGTACTCTTTGCTATATTCCTGTTCCTTGAGAAGGCCCGTTGGAAGACAGCACCCGCCGTCATAATAAGCATTCTGATTGTATGTGGCTTAATTTGATTCCCCTTATATATTGGTCATTTCTCTGCTGCTGATACAGGTGGAACTGCAAATCATTGGCTCATTCACGCTCGTCGCCCAGGCTCATTGGATGGACATGCTCATCTACTTCAGCATCTGCCTCGTGCTCATAGTTCTCTTTGCAATAATCGGCGTCTTCTTGCCGCAGAAGGTAAGTGCTTAGCATAGATCAACACTCGAAAGGGGTAAGGCGAATAGTCACCAAATGCCTTCAGATGGATCTCACACTTCATGTCGCTTTGCTATTTATTGTGGCGTTCCTATTTTTGTTGATCGGAGTCTACTTCTTGTTGATGCATTTAATAGAGCCTTTCATACAGCCATATGCCTATCTCGTCTGGCAGATATCCATTACAATAACCTTGATGTTTGTAAGTAGCTCGAATTAACGGAATGTCAAACTGTTCTACTTACATTTGTATCCTTCAGTTTGTTATGTATCATGCACAAACAATTAACGGCAGCCGATTCGCGGAGATGCGACTGCATGATTATTGTCTTGGTTCTCTGATCCTATTCCATGATTTTCTGATCATATACTGGCTAACATTGTATTGGCAAGTCTATGCTAGGTTGGCGGCAGATCCCTTATGGGGTATGCTGAGTACTGCGGCTTTGAAAAGCAACCATAATCCCAAATTCATTGATCTAAGAAACGAAGATTATAGTGGTAAGTTAATTCATTTATCCAATATGCTTGTCCTTAATGTTCTATTCGCCTTGTATAGATGATTTGGTTTATATAACCCCTAGTAGCCATCAGAATAAAGTGAGAGTAAGGAGCGGAACAACTGAGATATCGATAACCCTCGACTTTATGGCGGATGATATGAGTATGTTTTCAAACCCAGTTAAAGACAAGTTGCCTAATTTGTTTGATCCCGATCCCATTGAAAATCGTGCATATGATTTTCGAGGAAAAGATAAAGATCAATCAGATCAACAATATGTTCTTGAGCCCGATGAAAGCACAGTAAATCCAGAGGACAAAGACGCCAAGGCTTACTCGAGGAAACCAGGTAACACAACCAGATCCAATGATACTTTTCAAGAATGACGAATACTATTGATGTGAGAAAGTAAATAATAAAAAAATAAGTAAAATAACGACCGGACTACGATTTTAATCAATCTTCTACCGTGGCCCTTTCATATTTATCATTTTCTAATGTCCAATATATATAAGTAACCAACGTTTAGAATTGGATACAAAGTTCTATTTTATATTTATGTCAGATGTAAATAAAATTAGCTTTGTTATTTTAGTTATTGCTTTGCTTTAAAAAAACACTAGTTACCAGATTTGTAAATTGTCGCCCCAAATTTGTGGCATATGTTAGTAAGTTATTAAATTCTTCTCCAGTAAATGGCGTCATGAGAGCCACGTACCAAAATTATATGTACTACAAGAAAGCCCGCCAACGCTTTGCTTGCACAGTCTATAGCATATTGTTCGTGTGGCTTGCCTTGACACTTATGCAGATTGCGGTGATAGCCCTCGTGTGAGTAAAACCAATTGCAAAGAGTCTCAAGAAATGCCTCATTATGTTTTAAATTGATCCGTCTCATGCAGAATCGACGCAAGGTATTTTTTTTATATGAACTACTACATCAGCTTTATATTCTTTGGTGTGGGAATTTTACTATTTGGTTTATTTATATTGTTTGAGACGTTGCGTTTCATTATCGTGCTTAACTTTGTTCTGGCCATCATAATTGTGAGTAATGATAACAATCCCTAATTTCTCAATATGGTAAAAATCGTCTTTAAGGTTGAGTCTCAAATTATTGCGCTCTTCGCGTTAGTCGCACGTGTTTTTTGGATTGATGTTCTTGCATTCTTTTCAATTTGCTTTGTGCTGCTCTGGATATTTATTTTATTTGGTTCGATTCTTCCCAGAGATGTGGGTATTATATTGTTTATATTGAATTTTTTCATTGACTCATATTATATGTATCCCTCAGGCTGACCTTACTTTAGATGTAGCCGTAGTTTTCATTATTGCCTTCGTTTTTCTGGCAATTGGAATATTCTTTTTGATGGTGCATTTCGCTATACCTCGGACTGGGTATTACTCTTACCTAGTCTTCGAAATCGCAATTACTATTATGATACTAGCTGTAAGTCGCTGATTCATATTATATATATATATATATATATATATATATATATATTTATATATATATATTTATATATATATATATATATAAATATATTTATATATATATTTATATAGCCTGTATCTGATACACACTTCTTAGTTCGTAATGTACCACGCACAAACCATCAACGGCGGTCGATTCGCGGAGATGCGGCTAAATGATGCACTTTTGGGATCATTAATTCTCTTCCACGACTTTCTCATTATTTATTGGTTAACTTTCTATTGGCAAATCTTAGTGAGACCATTCACGCCCAATAATTGGATTCTCTTGACGTACATAGAAGATGTTACTACTGTTGCACCTTGTGCTCATCAAAGTCCCGAGGTAACGGTAGGTCCGTTACCTCAAGAAACTAACGCTCCCGATAAACCTCCAGTTCAGCCGCCAGCCCCAACGCCAATTCCACCGCCAACTCAACCACCAATTCCACCGCCAACTCAACCACCAATTCCACCGCCAACTCAACCCCCAATTCCACCGCCAACTCAACCACCAATTCCACCGCCAACTCAACCACCAATTCCACCGCCAACTCAACCACCAACTCAACCGCCAACCAAACCGCCAATCAAACCGCCAGTTCGACCGCCAGTTCGACCGCCAGTTCGACCGCCAGTTCGACCGCCTAAACCTCCAGTTAAACCATGGACATGGGGTTAGAAAGCAGTAAACCGTGAGACAAAAAACCAAGCAGAACATTAAGGCAACCAGATCATCGTCCACTTAAGCACCATGCATCAAGCTAAACCAGGCATATCTGGTGAAGACATTTAAATCGATGATGCTATTTCAGGTCAAAATCAATGGAGAAACGGGACGTAGGAATGGGGTACGTAGGCACCGAGATCAGAAACAACGGAGACTTTTAGCTGACAAACAAACGGATGCTAATAACAAATGCGGACTTACCGCAGTTTTCGCTAGAGGATACGAAAAGAAGTAACGGTTGAAAATATAAACCGTGTTGCAAACATGAAAAAAGAAGGCAGAAAATTTCTGCTGATTGAAATTGTAGTATACAGATGAACATTGCACTAGCGATGAAAGAGACTTTCCAGTTCCTGAGCTCAGAGTGCGATATAGTATTATCTTTTCTATATTGCACTCTGAGATCAGGAACTGGAACACGCTAGTGCAATGTTCATCTGTATACTACAATTACAATCAGCAATAGTTTGGGGAAGATTAAGTTTCTGACGTAGATATGGGAAGGTCACTGATGCAGTAATAATGCCCAGATCCTAGAGAATGAAATGTCAGAAATTATCGAAATTAATCTGAAATATCTGCAAGTGAAGAAGTCTGCATTCGGAATCTTGAAAGTAAAATTTTCGACTCTAAATATATTGACTCGAGTTACTCATATGTTATTTTATTATTATTTATTTTTTACCAGTAATGCTATTCTATGATATTTTTACAATGTTACATTGCGAAACAAGTAAGAAATATTTAGTCGATACTGCAGGACTACGAGATCCGTGGGACCATTTGAGGAACTGATATTTCAAATATTCTTTCCTTCTTTTCTGACAAAACTTTCGAATATAATTGTTTAATAAGTTTACTTGTATATGGACTATCTCTATCGTGACAATAACAAAAAATTGTGTATATCTACCAAAGCAGAAGTCTATAGTATTGGAAATACTCGTTTTGCAAATTTTTAGGGAGTGCACTATAGGAAATAAAGACCGAAATTTTGGCATAAACTCTAAAAGTAAAGCTATGAATTTGACATTTTGCGTAAGTAGACTAAATTAGAATTTCGGAAATTTTTTTAAACGATTCGACCTCGCCTTCAACTCCCCTTGTTAATTAATAATTCAATCATGAGTGCTTTTGACATAATTTTTACTAATATATAACATAAATATTTTTAGATAAAAATTATTAATGATGACTTACATCATATAATACAAAAATGTAAAAGTTTATGACAATCCAGTTATTACCCTATTAAAAAAATAAAATAAATAAATAAATAAATTACCAGCTAAATTTTTTTTTATTTAACATATTTGGAAAATTAACGTCAATAATATTAATATTTTTAAAATATTTCGATATTCTATTTGTCTGGATAATGTTTATCTTCGTCTTCCTTTTAAATTTTTGATTCCGCTTATATCATCCTATCGTTACTGAGGCGCGATTAACAGACTCTCAATCAGGGCAAATAGACCGCTCACTTCTCTTGAAAATTTAATTATTTTGAAGAGTTTTGTCTTTTTTAAAGACAAAGACAATGACAACAAAAGTGGATCAGATAAGTCTAATTCCCTCTGAAAAACATCCGTGATATTATTTAATCTGCTGCTCTTTCGGATATGAGAGCTTTTATAAGCGAGCTTCTGGTGCGTTTTCTTCAAGAATACTATTAACCATTAACTGGTGTCCATGGATCAAAACTATATGCACAGTTGGGATATGGAATACCAGGCATGTATATTTCAATATATAAGCGCAGAACGCTTTAAATTTGTCACTCAACTGAGTGCAAGCTTCTTTATTACCAGCTTCTTTATAGAGATTTCAAGGTTATTTCATGAGGAGCTCGGATTTTTTTTTTAAGTTTCTCATTTTCGACCCGTGAATCAATTGTTTTGAATTTTGAAAGATTCTGGCTAGTTTTTGGCAAATATGTTTATAAAATATCGACACACACAAAAGAACATAGGGATGCAAGCATAAACACGCATTAGCTGCAGTGTGGGCTTACTATGGAAACTTAATTGCTCAATAACTTTTCTTGTTGATGGACTATCTTCACATGATCGTGAATATAACATTAAAGTGCGTGTATGTGCCAAAGCAAAAGTCTCTAGTATTTGAAATACGCCTTTTACAAATATGTGTGTGAGGGGGTGGATATAGAGGTGGGGATAAATTACAACAAAAATCGAAGTAATATAAAATACACTAGCTGACCTGGCAAACGTTGCTTTGCCTCCTGCGAATGCTTATGCGCCATGGTGCATTCATCCCAGATTATAATCTTACACTGTTTCAGCACAGTGGCCATGGATGAATGCCGAAATTCATAAGATTCGTTTGACATTGGTAGCAATGAACCAACTTTACTCTCCACCAAAATTAAAGGATGCATTGTTACTAAGAGAGAGACAACAATAGCTGTTGCTGAACGTGGTCCCGGGTGTCGCTGGGTGAGAGAGACACGGCTAGTTATGTCCTTCACACAGAATCGCTATGATTTTAATGTACGAGATTTGCGACCAGAACTAGAGGTTTTGCCAGTAGAAGAGAAATCAGACTCGGTAAATGCCTATTGAACAAGAAAGAGCTTTGTCAAAAGACACCTGGAACTCGGTACGCGCTGCGAAGATGGAAAACAAGAATGAGAAACCCAACGCCCCGACATATATATATATATATATATATATATATATATATATATATATATATTTATTTATTTATTTATATATATATAGAAACCTATGTTTGGAATTGAATAGCTTGATTTCAGATTTATGTCAGATGTAAATAAAATTACAGTTTTTGTTTTTTATTTTTATTTATTTATTTATTTATTTATTTTTTGCTTTAAAAATTTGTTTCATTTGTTAATTGTCGCTCAATCTTTTTGGTATATGTTAGTCCAAGCAGACGTAGTAAGATACTAAAAATTCTGCAGTAAATAGCGTCATGAGAGCCACGTTCCAAAATTATAAGTTCTACAAGAAAGCCCGCCAACGATCACTGATCACTGATGCAGTAATAATGCCCAGATCCTAGAGAATGAAATGTCACAAATTATTGAAATTAATCATAGTTCTCTTTGCAATAATCGGCGTCTTCTTGCCGCAGAAGGTAAGTGCTTAGCATAGATCAACACTCGAAAGGGGTAAGGCGAATAGTCACCAAATGCCTTCAGATGGATCTCACACTTCATGTCGCTTTGCTATTTATTGTGGCGTTCCTATTTTTGTTGATCGGAGTCTACTTCTTGTTGATGCATTTAATAGAGCCTTTCATACAGCCATATGCCTATCTCGTCTGGCAGATATCCATTACAATAACCTTGATGTTTGTAAGTAGCTCGAATTAACGGAATGTCAAACTGTTCTACTTACATTTGTATCCTTCAGTTTGTTATGTATCATGCACAAACAATTAACGGCAGCCGATTCGCGGAGATGCGACTGCATGATTATTGTCTTGGTTCTCTGATCCTATTCCATGATTTTCTGATCATATACTGGCTAACATTGTATTGGCAAGTCTATGCTAGGTTGGCGGCAGATCCCTTATGGGGTATGCTGAGTACTGCGGCTTTGAAAAGCAACCATAATCCCAAATTCATTGATCTAAGAAACGAAGATTATAGTGGTAAGTTAATTCATTTATCCAATATGCTTGTCCTTAATGTTCTATTCGCCTTGTATAGATGATTTGGTTTATATAACCCCTAGTAGCCATCAGAATAAAGTGAGAGTAAGGAGCGGAACAACTGAGATATCGATAACCCTCGACTTTATGGCGGATGATATGAGTATGTTTTCAAACCCAGTTAAAGACAAGTTGCCTAATTTGTTTGATCCCGATCCCATTGAAAATCGTGCATATGATTTTCGAGGAAAAGATAAAGATCAATCAGATCAACAATATGTTCTTGAGCCCGATGAAAGCACAGTAAATCCAGAGGACAAAGACGCCAAGGCTTACTCGAGGAAACCAGGTAACACAACCAGATCCAATGATACTTTTCAAGAATGACGAATACTATTGATGTGAGAAAGTAAATAATAAAAAAATAAGTAAAATAACGACCGGACTACGATTTTAATCAATCTTCTACCGTGGCCCTTTCATATTTATCATTTTCTAATGTCCAATATATATAAGTAACCAACGTTTAGAATTGGATACAAAGTTCTATTTTATATTTATGTCAGATGTAAATAAAATTAGCTTTGTTATTTTAGTTATTGCTTTGCTTTAAAAAAACACTAGTTACCAGATTTGTAAATTGTCGCCCCAAATTTGTGGCATATGTTAGTAAGTTATTAAATTCTTCTCCAGTAAATGGCGTCATGAGAGCCACGTACCAAAATTATATGTACTACAAGAAAGCCCGCCAACGCTTTGCTTGCACAGTCTATAGCATATTGTTCGTGTGGCTTGCCTTGACACTTATGCAGATTGCGGTGATAGCCCTCGTGTGAGTAAAACCAATTGCAAAGAGTCTCAAGAAATGCCTCATTATGTTTTAAATTGATCCGTCTCATGCAGAATCGACGCAAGGTATTTTTTTTATATGAACTACTACATCAGCTTTATATTCTTTGGTGTGGGAATTTTACTATTTGGTTTATTTATATTGTTTGAGACGTTGCGTTTCATTATCGTGCTTAACTTTGTTCTGGCCATCATAATTGTGAGTAATGATAACAATCCCTAATTTCTCAATATGGTAAAAATCGTCTTTAAGGTTGAGTCTCAAATTATTGCGCTCTTCGCGTTAGTCGCACGTGTTTTTTGGATTGATGTTCTTGCATTCTTTTCAATTTGCTTTGTGCTGCTCTGGATATTTATTTTATTTGGTTCGATTCTTCCCAGAGATGTGGGTATTATATTGTTTATATTGAATTTTTTCATTGACTCATATTATATGTATCCCTCAGGCTGACCTTACTTTAGATGTAGCCGTAGTTTTCATTATTGCCTTCGTTTTTCTGGCAATTGGAATATTCTTTTTGATGGTGCATTTCGCTATACCTCGGACTGGGTATTACTCTTACCTAGTCTTCGAAATCGCAATTACTATTATGATACTAGCTGTAAGTCGCTGATTCATATTATATATATATATATATATATATATATATATATTTATATATATATATTTATATATATATATATATATAAATATATTTATATATATATTTATATAGCCTGTATCTGATACACACTTCTTAGTTCGTAATGTACCACGCACAAACCATCAACGGCGGTCGATTCGCGGAGATGCGGCTAAATGATGCACTTTTGGGATCATTAATTCTCTTCCACGACTTTCTCATTATTTATTGGTTAACTTTCTATTGGCAAATCTTAGTGAGACCATTCACGCCCAATAATTGGATTCTCTTGACGTACATAGAAGATGTTACTACTGTTGCACCTTGTGCTCATCAAAGTCCCGAGGTAACGGTAGGTCCGTTACCTCAAGAAACTAACGCTCCCGATAAACCTCCAGTTCAGCCGCCAGCCCCAACGCCAATTCCACCGCCAACTCAACCACCAATTCCACCGCCAACTCAACCACCAATTCCACCGCCAACTCAACCACCAATTCCACCGCCAACTCAACCACCAATTCCACCGCCAACTCAACCACCAATTCCACCGCCAACTCAACCACCAACTCAACCGCCAACCAAACCGCCAATCAAACCGCCAGTTCGACCGCCAGTTCGACCGCCAGTTCGACCGCCAGTTCGACCGCCTAAACCTCCAGTTAAACCATGGACATGGGGTTAGAAAGCAGTAAACCGTGAGACAAAAAACCAAGCAGAACATTAAGGCAACCAGATCATCGTCCACTTAAGCACCATGCATCAAGCTAAACCAGGCATATCTGGTGAAGACATTTAAATCGATGATGCTATTTCAGGTCAAAATCAATGGAGAAACGGGACGTAGGAATGGGGTACGTAGGCACCGAGATCAGAAACAACGGAGACTTTTAGCTGACAAACAAACGGATGCTAATAACAAATGCGGACTTACCGCAGTTTTCGCTAGAGGATACGAAAAGAAGTAACGGTTGAAAATATAAACCGTGTTGCAAACATGAAAAAAGAAAGGCAGAAAATTCTGCTGATTGAAATTGTAGTATACAGATGAACATTGCACTAGCGATGAAAGAGACTTTCCAGTTCCTGAGCTCAGAGTGCGATATAGTATTATCTTTTCTATATTGCACTCTGAGATCAGGAACTGGAACACGCTAGTGCAATGTTCATCTGTATACTACAATTACAATCAGCAATAGTTTGGGGAAGATTAAGTTTCTGACGTAGATATGGGAAGGTCACTGATGCAGTAATAATGCCCAGATCCTAGAGAATGAAATGTCAGAAATTATCGAAATTAATCTGAAATATCTGCAAGTGAAGAAGTCTGCATTCGGAATCTTGAAAGTAAAATTTTCGACTCTAAATATATTGACTCGAGTTACTCATATGTTATTTTATTATTATTTATTTTTTACCAGTAATGCTATTCTATGATATTTTTACAATGTTACATTGCGAAACAAGTAAGAAATATTTAGTCGATACTGCAGGACTACGAGATCCGTGGGACCATTTGAGGAACTGATATTTCAAATATTCTTTCCTTCTTTTCTGACAAAACTTTCGAATATAATTGTTTAATAAGTTTACTTGTATATGGACTATCTCTATCGTGACAATAACAAAAAATTGTGTATATCTACCAAAGCAGAAGTCTATAGTATTGGAAATACTCGTTTTGCAAATTTTTAGGGAGTGCACTATAGGAAATAAAGACCGAAATTTTGGCATAAACTCTAAAAGTAAAGCTATGAATTTGACATTTTGCGTAAGTAGACTAAATTAGAATTTCGGAAATTTTTTTAAACGATTCGACCTCGCCTTCAACTCCCCTTGTTAATTAATAATTCAATCATGAGTGCTTTTGACATAATTTTTACTAATATATAACATAAATATTTTTAGATAAAAATTATTAATGATGACTTACATCATATAATACAAAAATGTAAAAGTTTATGACAATCCAGTTATTACCCTATTAAAAAAAATAAATAAATAAATAAATAAATTACCAGCTAAATTTTTTTTTATTTAACATATTTGGAAAATTAACGTCAATAATATTAATATTTTTAAAATATTTCGATATTCTATTTGTCTGGATAATGTTTATCTTCGTCTTCCTTTTAAATTTTTGATTCCGCTTATATCATCCTATCGTTACTGAGGCGCGATTAACAGACTCTCAATCAGGGCAAATAGACCGCTCACTTCTCTTGAAAATTTAATTATTTTGAAGAGTTTTGTCTTTTTTAAAGACAAAGACAATGACAACAAAAGTGGATCAGATAAGTCTAATTCCCTCTGAAAAACATCCGTGATATTATTTAATCTGCTGCTCTTTCGGATATGAGAGCTTTTATAAGCGAGCTTCTGGTGCGTTTTCTTCAAGAATACTATTAACCATTAACTGGTGTCCATGGATCAAAACTATATGCACAGTTGGGATATGGAATACCAGGCATGTATATTTCAATATATAAGCGCAGAACGCTTTAAATTTGTCACTCAACTGAGTGCAAGCTTCTTTATTACCAGCTTCTTTATAGAGATTTCAAGGTTATTTCATGAGGAGCTCGGATTTTTTTTTTAAGTTTCTCATTTTCGACCCGTGAATCAATTGTTTTGAATTTTGAAAGATTCTGGCTAGTTTTTGGCAAATATGTTTATAAAATATCGACACACACAAAAGAACATAGGGATGCAAGCATAAACACGCATTAGCTGCAGTGTGGGCTTACTATGGAAACTTAATTGCTCAATAACTTTTCTTGTTGATGGACTATCTTCACATGATCGTGAATATAACATTAAAGTGCGTGTATGTGCCAAAGCAAAAGTCTCTAGTATTTGAAATACGCCTTTTACAAATATGTGTGTGAGGGGGTGGATATAGAGGTGGGGATAAATTACAACAAAAATCGAAGTAATATAAAATACACTAGCTGACCTGGCAAACGTTGCTTTGCCTCCTGCGAATGCTTATGCGCCATGGTGCATTCATCCCAGATTATAATCTTACACTGTTTCAGCACAGTGGCCATGGATGAATGCCGAAATTCATAAGATTCGTTTGACATTGGTAGCAATGAACCAACTTTACTCTCCACCAAAATTAAAGGATGCATTGTTACTAAGAGAGAGACAACAATAGCTGTTGCTGAACGTGGTCCCGGGTGTCGCTGGGTGAGAGAGACACGGCTAGTTATGTCCTTCACACAGAATCGCTATGATTTTAATGTACGAGATTTGCGACCAGAACTAGAGGTTTTGCCAGTAGAAGAGAAATCAGACTCGGTAAATGCCTATTGAACAAGAAAGAGCTTTGTCAAAAGACACCTGGAACTCGGTACGCGCTGCGAAGATGGAAAACAAGAATGAGAAACCCAACGCCCCGACATATATATATATATATATATATATATATATATATATATATATATATATTTATTTATTTATTTATATATATATAGAAACCTATGTTTGGAATTGAATAGCTTGATTTCAGATTTATGTCAGATGTAAATAAAATTACAGTTTTTGTTTTTTATTTTTATTTATTTATTTATTTATTTATTTTTTGCTTTAAAAATTTGTTTCATTTGTTAATTGTCGCTCAATCTTTTTGGTATATGTTAGTCCAAGCAGACGTAGTAAGATACTAAAAATTCTGCAGTAAATAGCGTCATGAGAGCCACGTTCCAAAATTATAAGTTCTACAAGAAAGCCCGCCAACGCTTTGCTTGTACAGTCTATAGCATATTGTTCGTGTGGCTTGCCTTGACACTTATACAGATTGCAGCGATACCCCTCGTGTGAGTAAAACCAATTGTAAAGAGTCTCAAGAAATGCCTCATTATGTTTCAATTTGATCCGTCTCATGCAGAATGGACGCAAGGTATTTATTTGATAGGCACTACTACATCAGCATTATTTTCTTTGGTGTGGGAATTTTAATATTTGGTTTATTTATATTGTTTGAGACGTTGCGTTTCACTAGCGTGCTTAACGTCGTTCTGGCCATCATAATTGTGAGTAATGATAACAATCCCTAATTTCTCAATATGGTAAAAATCGTCTTTAAGGTTGAGTCTCAAATTATTGCGCTCTTCGCGTTAGTCGCACGTGTTTTCTGGATAGATTTTCTTGCATTCTTCTTAATTTGCCTTGTGCTGCTCTGGATATTTATTTTAATTGCTTCGGTTCTACCCAGAGATGTAGGTAATATATTTTATTTTACTGTCCTTAGACTCATATTATATATCACTCAGGTTGACCTGACTCTAGATTTAGCCGTAGTTTTCATTAATGCCTTCATTTTTCTGGCAATTGGAATATACTTTTTGATGGTGCATTTCGCTGTACCTCGGACTGGGTATTACTCTTATCTAGTCTTCGAAATCGCAATTACTATTATGATACTAGCTGTAAGTCGCTGATTCATATTATATATATAGCCTGTATCTGATACACACTTCTTAGTTCGTAATGTACCACGCACAAACCATCAACGGCGGTCGATTCGCGGAGATGCGGCTAAATGATGCACTTTTGGGATCATTAATTCTCTTCCACGACTTTCTCATTATTTATTGGTTAACTTTCTATTGGCAAATCTTAGTGAGACCATTCACGCCCAATAATTGGATTCTCTTGGCGAACATAGAAGATGTTACTAATGTTGCACCTTGTGCTTATCAAAGATTCGATGTATTTTCGTTACCTCAAGCAACTACTCAACCGCCAACTCAACGGCCAACTCAACCGCCAACTCAACCACCAACTCAACCGCCAACCAAACCGCCAACCAAACCGCCAACCAAACCGCCAACCAAACCGCCAACCAAACGGCCAACTCGACCGCCAACAACCGAACCGAAAACTTATTTGATTATATATTCATATACACGTTTATCATGGCCATGGCTACGGAGATCAGCAACAACGGAGACTCTTAGCTGACAAACAAACGGATGCTAATAACAAATGCGGACTAACCTCAGTTTTCGCTAGAGGATACGAAAAGAAGTAACGGTTGAAAATAAAAACCGTGCTGCAAACATGAAAAAAGAAAGGAAGAAAATTCTGCTGATTGTAATTGTAGTATACAGATGGACATTGCACTAGCGATGAAAGAGTCTTTCCAGTTCCTGAGCTCAGAGTGCGATATAGAGAAGATAGTATCCAATAGTTTGGGGAAGATAAAGTTAAAGTTGCTGATAGAAACGAAGATATGGGAAGGTCACTGATGCAGTAATAATGCCCAGATCCTAGAGAATGAAATGTCACAAATTATTGAAATTAATCTGAAATATAATTATATAATAATATATAATATATAATATAATTGTTTAATAAGTTTACTTGTATATTGACTATCTGTACACAAGTTATAGATCGTGACAATAGCAAACAAATGTGTATATTTACCAAAGCAGAAGTCTCTAGTACTTGAAATATTCATTTTGCAAATTTTTAGGGAATGGTGAATTTGGGGATGATGGGTGGATTATAACAAACAAGTAAGAAAGCTTTAGTCGAGACTGCACAACTACGAGATCCCCTCAACCCTTCGAGCAACTGATATTTCAATAATTATTCGCACACACACACACATACACGCACACACACAGGCACCCACGCATAAACACGTATGGGCTGCAGTGTGCGCTTACTAGGAGAAATTAATTGTTTATTAACTTTTCTTGCGGATATACTATCTTCATGAAACTTTTAAATCATGATTATAATAGTGAAATGAGTATATTTGCCAAAGCACAAGTCTATAGTGCTTGAAATACGCTGTTTACAAATGTAGTAGTAAGAGGGAAGATATAAGGGTTGGGGGTGAATTAGAACATAAACCGAAACTATTTAAAATACATAAAATCTAAAGATGTAGGAGGTATAATTTTATAACTGATTTTCGTCAAGGGTTTTTAATAACAGGGCCAAATGGACTGAGCTCGTCACCCTGATCAAAACTATATATACTTTGTGGAGTCTGTCACGCCTCCTTCTGCCTGTTACATACATTTCAATAAAACCATTATACACTGATTTCCTATTTCTAATGGGTTCAGGGTATAAAAAATCACTATATCTTCAGGTCCGACTTGCCACGCCCTTAATGAACGTAGTGACATAATTTTTTTGTCATTTATAGAATCACAACATTAGCATATGTGCGAAATTTCAGTATTTTTAAAACTCGTGGAGATACAGTTTTATCCGATTCGCCACGCCCTCAATGGGCGTAGATATATCCGCCATAGCTCGAGATCTTGGGTAGTCGACACGCATATCGCATTTCGGAAAATGCGTTTGCTGATTGAGCCGAAGATGTGGGAAAAGTCACTGATGAACTTGTCCAAGACTCACCCATAGATATTCATTACGGCTGGAACGGAATTCTAGAAGAAAAGTCCGAAGACGCTGGGGCACATCATGCAGAGAATACAGCTAAAATAGTTGGCAGCCTTAATTATACTGACAGAATACCAAACGACACAGATAGCACTAAAGTTACTATAGATGACAACATTGATGAATCTGGTGTTCCGATGTTTGCGGGTGGTGTCGACACAGCGGACACTGACTTAGATGCAGCCGACGGCACAGTTAGTTATATTGATATGAAAGGTAGGGGAGTCATTACACATGGATACTCCGGAGCAAATGCAATACCCTTTGTAGAAAGAAGCACTGAACGCTCTATAAGAATGGAGACTAGGGATCCTAGTGCTGAGAATGTCTTAGGTCCATATGACCAAGTCCAAGGTCCCTATTGACACGAATGATTCATTGAATTTATATACACGCAGATAGCAGTGATTTCTTCCAAATGATACAAACATACATACACGCATACCATTAGTATTATTTCATAACAGGTGACCAAAAGATTTATCACTCTGAAAGTCAAGCCCCAGCTACCTGTTCAACGAACTCCACTGTAAAAATAAACCGTTCGACCAATTACGGTCAGCCCACGTGCAGACCCCATAAAAACGTACTTGTACTTCACATAACATACATACAGAAATACATTTGCATATGCATATGCCCATACCCTTACCCATGACACATATTTACACGTGTGCACACGTAGCCAGGCCCACATCGGCTATCTTGGCCAATCCAGGCGCATTTACAGTTTGAATAAACTTAATAAAAGGAATACCATATCAAAAGTCTAATAATTTGGGAGGTCTGCAAGTCTATATAAATGAAGTTTTGAATTGACCATATTAGAGAATCTGCAATTGCATATCAATTCTATATAAATATTGTAAATACATATTTTCATAGAATCTATTGAAAATACTTAGTAAGATTATTGAAAATAAAAATACAATCTCGTTATTCTGTTACAATTTGCTGAAACGGTCTATTAAATATTTTTTTAATTTGATTAAGAATGGACTTTCTATAAAAATATACAATTGGTGTTCTTTTGTTTTCGATTTTAAAAATTGAATATGGTATTGAAAAATAATATGGAATTTTAATATAGTATTTTCAACTCGGAAATGCTTTATCTATTGATTAATACGTTCAATTTGTTCATATTTTTGTATTATTTGACAGTGAAATTAAAATAGAATTGATAGTTTAGATAAGTCATTTTCCGATTTCATGAAAATTGGATTTTCTTTAAAAATATATAATTAACTATTATTTGCTTTTCAAAATGCTATATTTAATTAATTTATAAAAATGTGTAGAATTGAGTATAGGCATTGGCTTCACTATAATCAATAGAGCTTCGTTTGCAGAGTATGCAATAGTCGACTGATAAATGCAAATAATATTTCCCTTGCGTCTTATTTGATTTTGTGCTGTGCAGCAAATCATGGCAAGAACGTAAAACACGACCGCGACACCAAGCCCAACGTTGACTGCAACTGCTGCTGGTGTTAATGTCATTACCAGCTTTCAGAGACGCCGCCTGCTCCCCCTCCCCTCCTCCCTTGCTGACAGTTTAGCTGGCAGTCACTCATGACTGTGACCTGAACCAGATACACGATGCACGATAATATAATTTATGGCCCTGTTTTGGTGTTTGTTGCTCCGCTGCATTTTGCTATGTTTGATGCGGCGTGTTACAACGTCCGTCCGTCTGTCCGTCCGTCTGGCCGTTCGACTCTCAGTCGGAGAGTCGACTCACCAACAAATCGTACATTTGAATACAAATTGCAGCATTACCATCTGAGCAGCGCACAAGCCTCAACAAAAGTGTTAAATTTGACATGAAATTATTTATGCCAATACGTGAGCGAACATTACCTGCTTGAGCATTCCAATTCCCTGTGCAGTTAAGAGACATTACAGTTTTCGATTCCGATTTGTTATATTTGTTTACCATACTTGACAATATTTATTTATTAATTTCATTATTTAATTAATTCGTGAAGTTCATTTAGTTTTAGATGCTAGCTGCCCTATATGTATGTAATTAGTTTCATTCTATGTTTTTCTTTTCTTTTCATTTCATTTGCTTTGGAATTTCAATTTAATATAATCTTTTTATTCACTACTTATATGTAGCTGTAGTAACTGCAACATTTTATGAGCTAACTGTGCTTGATCAAGAGGTGCCACTGCAATTGAAACCAATTCTTTAACATTATGTTAATCTCAATAAACTTTAATCAATATGAAATCAAATGCAAATAAGTGAAATAATTCATCTGTAGACTCTTTTCTGAGGCTTATCGGCGAGGCAATAAGCTGGACAAACATGTTGATCCAGTGCTACTCATATCTTGGCCAGATATTGTTGTCGAATTAACTGTTTGCTAGGCTGGCCACAGACAGCCTCACGTTCTTTGGGTCAACATCACGATCGTCCCATTCAAGGACAACAAACAGTTTGAACTTAAATACCAAGTCAAGGAAGTAAAATGAAAAGTTAGAGTAAAAGTGAAAGTGAAATAAAACAAAAAATGGTAATAATTAAATTTTTGATTTGCTTGAATGGTTGGTTCTAGCATTATATTTCTTTTTAAATATTTTTTGCGATATTATTTAGTAACATTTAGGCATAATCGATAGGCAATTTGTTAAAATTACGTTTTACAGATACAATAAATAATACTCAGTCTTGCATAATACATGATATATATATATATATATAACAAATAACTAAAACGAACTCAAATCATTTACACATATAGGCTATAGGATTTATGCTTTTTTTTTTTTTTTTGCTGTCGAGTGTGCTGCTCTATATAGGACTCTACTAGGACTCACCCGACTCGCAGGTGGGGACAGACGATTCAGCTATTTACAAGTGACTAAGCATGTAAGCATGATCTCCGAGCCCCGAACTATGCCCAATTTTCCCCAAATTCCCAATTCTCTCTGTCCCTCTCCCTCTCCCTCTCCCTTTCCTTTCCCTCTCGCTCTCTGTCTCGGTTGGCTCTTTAGTTGCTGGGCAATCACGCGGCAACAACAACCACCAATGAGGCGCAATCGTCGTCAGCAGCTGCTGCCGGCAGCAAAGTCGACGTTGCTGTGGATGTCGCATTTCGATGCTCCACGTCCAGCTCCAGCTCATTCCGCAGCTCCTGCTCATCCGGCATGTTAATGCAAATGGTTGGCGAGGCTTTGTCCTCTGTCTGTGCCTGTGCCTGTGCCTGCGCCTGCATCTGTGTCTGTGTCTGTGCCTGATCGACTGTTGCTGACAGTTTGCACTTTTGCAGCTTCTTCTTCGGGCTCTGCTGCACTGCGTCCTTTGCCCAGCCGCTAATGCACGCACGTTGATTATTGTGACTGTGACTGTGATGATGATGATGATGATGCACAGCCGCCAGACTGGGGTACACAAACTTCATGCCGTAGGCGAAATGGCGCGGCTGATGATGCAGCGCCTCGTCGTAGCTGGGCAGCCCGGTGGCAATTGTATAACAGGGTGGCGATTCAATTTGATAGAAGCCCGCCTCATTGGCCCCGCCAGGTGAGCTGCCATTGCCGCTGCCGCTGCCATTGCCGGGCACCTGCTGCAGCAATCGGCTGGCGTCGCAGCTGATCAGGTGATGGCTGGCTCCATGCGAGGAGTACGAGTCGCTGGCCGCATGCAGCTGTGCGCGTATGTCCTTGTCTGCAAATACGAAAAGAGGTTGAAAGTTGGTTAGTTGTTGCTTCCATTTCTTTGCCGTATCTGCTCCGTATCTGCTGTCCAGCTTTGACTTTGACTTTGACAAACGTCTCATTAGTTTGTTTGTTGGGACTACACACACACACACACACACTCGCTCACACTGAAGGGACACTTGTTGGATTGGCTTAGAGGGGGCATAGGGAGAGGAGTTTGCCATTAAATTCAATTTAGCGTAAAGGCGCAAACGCTTGAACTTTGTGAATGGCAGGACATGAACAGGATCCTCTCCAGCTTTTATTAAAAAAAATACAAAAAATGCGAAAACAAAAAAAGAGGAAAACAGAAAACAGCATAAGCCCGGACAGAAAAGTGCGACAGAGAGAGAGAGAGAGAGAGGGAGAAAAAACTTTTGTGCCGACCGGAAGTGCCTGCGAGTTTGGCCGGACAGGCAAAAGTTTCTCATGCACAACAACCAACTGTCCGGCCGACTGTCCGTCCGTCCGTCCATCCGACTGACTGACAACAACAGCAAGCTGGCAATAAGCTGGCCGGAAGTGCGCGCGTGGCACAAATGAAACGAAAATACGAATTACGGAAAAAGAGCGAAATAAATATTAAAGAAGATGCAGCAATGTAGAGAAAAGCTCCGCCCGTAAAGTATGCAACGCGAAATGGGAAATTTTGTTGCATTCATCAGTTTTCACTCTTGAAAAGAAAAGTCGCTTTAAGCCAAACCTGAATGGATGGAGAGATTATTTGTGTAGTGCCCGAAATGAACAGCTCGTGGAAACATCGCCCAACAGAGGAGCTTATCCAGATATATCCACTATATAATTGTAAGCTTTTGTCAATTTGAAGGTGGCTTTTATTGTTTACCCTTGCCACAAATTGTTGCGGTTATTAAATGCAATTTAAGCTGCATTTATTAAATGAAAGCCTCCTCCTGCAGGCAGCAGCTGAATACGGCATTTTTTCGCATTGTCAGTGCAAGCAATTATTATTTATATTTTAAGCTTATTTTTACGATTTTTTTTTTTTATAAATTTCAATTGAAATTAATTTAAATTTTTTTTGTGCTGCGTTCAATTCGCTTTTCTGTTTGTTGTGTGCTCAGAAATATTTTGGCCACATGGATTCCATTAAAGCAACTGTGCCACCTATTTTTGATGGGTGGGGGGGATGGTGTAGGGCGGAGGTACGTAGCAGACGAGGAGGCGTGGCACAGCAAAAATTGGCGCATTACAATATTAAAATCCCCAGCCCGACAGCAGTCACACAGTCGGAGCCCCACTCGCACTCATACTGGCAGCAGTCACTGTGCTGCTGGCGGCGGCTGTTGATTTATTGTTATATCTGTAGTGCAAGCTCGTATATTTTTTGGGTGCCGAGGACTCTCGCAAAGAGCCATTTGACTTTTGTTTTATTTTTTGATAGACAGACGGCAAACACGACGGCCAAGCACATAGTAGTCCGCAGTGGGCGTGGCACACACACGCACACACACACACACATGCCATGGGATTCATATTTTATGCAAGTGTTGGGGCAGTCCACAGCATGCAAAGGAGCTAAAAAACAGAAACCAAAAAAAAAATGGAAGGAAGCAGCAGAACTGGCAGCTGCAGCAGTAGTTGGGAAAAAAATTAGCACGCCATTTGTTTTTGGCTTTTGTTACATTTGTGGCATGTTTTTTCATTTCGGCTGATGCGCCCCAATGTATGCAACAATTTAAATTCATTGCAATGAGCTGACGAATGCTGAAGAGCCCAACAATTGAGCTCGATTCGCATTGTGTTTCTTTTATTTACTAGACATGTGAATGGGTGTGTGTGTGTGTGTGTGTGTACGTATGAGTATTTATATATTGCATTTCATAAATGTTTGTTAATTTTTTAACACGCTCAACGGTTCGAGGGCAGCTTTTATTACATTTAATCGCTTTCGCAGCTGATGTCAATGAAAACTGATTGTTGAGTGGAGCAGCTCAAATTAAATTTCGCACTGCTCGTACCGCTGCCATTTTTTGGAGAGCTCTGCACAAATTGAATCTGGTTCAATTCAATAAGCTGCGCACACTAAATGCTCTCGAGCAACAAAGCAATTTGGTTAATTACAATTCGCCATTTGCGTTCAGCTAACTGAAAGCCAAAAAGCCAGCCAAACACGGTAACTAAAATATACAAAACATGAGCTGGTTGCAGGTGGAGCCAGCTAGGTGGAGCTGGAGCTAGTTCCGCGTCCTGCCACAGAAGCCATTAAAAATTGAAAAGACTCGCAAAACTGAGGGAAAGTTGTGACCGTTAGTTTTTCCCTTTTTTTCTGCCTCTCTCTCTATATCTCTCTCTCTATCTCTCTTTCTCTCTCTTTGGTTTTCTGAGGGCAAATTTTTGTGCTACGCTTAATTACATTTTTAACGGATGTAAATTATGCACAACCTATACAACATAATAAACAGTGGCAGCAGCTCCTGTTTCGTCCTGTTTCGCTTTAATTCACAAGTGCCTGGCGCCGCTGGCTGTTGTCCTGTTAATAAATTCAGTTGTGTGCGGCTCTAATTGATAACAAGCCAAAAACTTGCTACACGTCGAAACAGTGTGCGTGTGTGTGTGAGTGTGCGTGTGTGTGTGTGAGTATAGCCTTGCTTAATAAATAAACTGTAAGACCAAAGCAGAGGCTGCCTGGCATCTACGGCTCGTTAAGTATTTATAAGGTAAGCACACTCTGTGTGCTTGTAGCCAGCCAGCTGGGCAGACAGGTAGGTCGGCACGAGCGAGGGGGCGGGGCACACGTAGCCAGCATTAAACGCAGAAAAGCGTGCTACGAAAATCGAGCAAACTTAAGCCAAAGTTGCTTAATTATAAATGACACACGTGTGGCAGAGGCAGCGCACTGAGCTGCAGCAACCACAGCTAGACACACTCTACATAAATATATAGATATACACGTATGTGTATCTGTGTATGTGTGTGTGTGTGTGTGTGCTATCTATGTAGGCCAGTCTAACACGTAGCACGTAATACAGAGCCAAAAAGTAAAACCAAACACGACACTAACGAAACTAATTAGACGCACAGGCGCCCCAAAAAAAAAAAAAAAAAAAAAAAAAAAAAAGCAGCTAGCACACATATCGCTCAAAGCTCAAATTGATATTTTACGTAGTGGCCCGGCCCTTACCACTAACTAAAGTCCCGCTAGCCGCTGCTTTGCTCTCGGGTTAACATTGTTTTGGGGCGGAAAGTTTTTAAGGCTCGTTAGCACGAAATTGACAGTTTGACAGTTGAGTTGGCCATACTTTAATGCCACGGCCTTTGGCCCGGCCCACAACTTGTACAACACACGCTCGATCTCTGTCTCTCTCCCTCACTCTCTCTCTCTCACTCGCTCTCTCTCTTTGTTGGCCTAAATAAATCATTTGGCTAAATTGGTCTGCAAAAAGTTTGACACTCGAGTTGAGACTTGTTTAGTTTTCGTACTCTCCAGGTTTAGCGTGTGTGTGTGCTTGTCTGTGTGTGTGTGTGTGTGTGTGTGTGCACAGCTCGTTTGCTTCTAATTATGTGTAAAGTGCCTAAGCATATGATTTACTTTGCGCTATTTGTTTGCAAGCTCTTGGCCCAAACCAGCCGAACGAGCAACAGGTTTCTGGCCAATAACTGGATTTAGTTCAAGCCGTTGTTTAAGCCAGCATTTATGAACTTTTGGCCATATGACTCGCCAGCTTATCAGCTAATATATATCTATGTTTTTATTTCATTGGCCTCTGTTGCTGCTGTAACTGCGATAAGACTGAATTACCCCATTATAATAATGCTCATATATCACTCAGCTCAGTTGAATTTTTTGTCCACTTTCCTGCTGCCACAGACAATTTAACGCCATTCTCACACACTCTCTCTCTCTCTCTCTCTGTCTCTGTCTCTCTCTGAAAGAGAAACAAATTTCGCACAGCTTCCACATTATCACGCTCGTAAAGGGGGCGCACGGCTGGGCGGGGCAGCTGGGTCAGTTGAATATTATAAATATGCAGCGCATATATTTTGTGGCATCATAAACTTGTGTATCTAAAATTACAACGGCCAAAGCCATGGGAATTCGAGGCGGCTGACAATTTCGAAGCGCGCCAAAATTTATGAGACTTACGGCCATAACCGAGGGGCGTATGGGGCGCGTAGGTGCGTGGGTGTGTGTGCGTGTGAGTGTTGCTTTTCTGCATTTTATATTGTTTAGCCTGGCAGCCAAAACAGCTGGATAAATGGCCGTTGATAAGGTCGTAGCCCCACATTTTGATTAGAGTCACAAAGTCAGCACATGAACACGGTGGGTGGAGCGGTAGGGAGGGTTGGGGGGACAGATCGAGGGCTGCTCAATGAGTACTTACTGCATTTCTTCCAGGTCCTGAACTTGCGATAGAAGTAACAGCTAAACATGATGAACACCAGGGAGAGCACCACCAGCGAGGTGACAACGCCAATCCACAGATAGTTGACAATGGCGTGCATGTCGGCATCGCCAAAGATCTGCTCCCAGGTGGAATTGGCATCGGCATCGGCATTGTGCTCCCGCAGATCGGCCAGATCGAGCACCACCGAATTGGACAGCTGCTCGGTGCTGATGCTGGCCGGGGGCGCGGAGTCGTAGCTGCCGGCCGCATTCCCAATCCGCTGCAGCAGTGTGTTGAACGAGTGCAGCGCATCGATGTGGCGCAGATCGTGCGCTGTGGGTATCTCGAATGTGATTTGATTCTGCTGCATGTGCTCGGCGATGGCAGCGGGACTCATGCTGCTGGCCGGTGCCGAGATGAACTCCGCATAGAGCTCCCCGCTGCTGGGCATCGTTGTTGTCTCTGGCAGCGGATAATCCGTGGTGCTGGCTAGTGACATGTCTGCTGTCATGACTGAGGCTTTCCTGATTTTGTATTTTCTTTTCTTGTATTTACTTTTTATTTAACTGTTTGCCACTGTTAGCACTGATTCGCTATTGTTGCTGCTGCTGTCGATGTTGTTAATGTTGTTGGCACACGCGTCACGACACGTAAACAAAACGGAGTCTATAAATAGTCATTGGTCGAACTCCCGAATACGAATATTGTATTTATTTTCGTCTGCAATTTGGCCCGCGCACTGCGTCCGTTCGCTGGAGCGGCTCGTGGTTGACTGAATTGCCTCTCGTGCTGCGAGCGGAAGGTAAAGTTTGTGCCCAACACGCAACGAGTGGAATGCACACGCAGAGAGCGACAGCCGGCTGTAGTGAGTGGCCACACACCCTCTCACTCGCTCGCTCTCACTGGCGCGGGGATATTTTCACGCTCAATTTTATAGCTCACTCGGAGTTGGGCTCACAGCTGAGTTGAGATGCTTCAACTCCTCAAGTCCTTGCCTTGCTTTGCCTTAAAGAAGCGTTTTGCAATTTTTGCCGCATGTTTTTTTTTTTTTTTTTTTTAAATGTTTAACGTCCTCATTGCTGACCCAGTTTGAATCGTTTGCCTTTTTGGCCAGCAAAGACAAAAGACGTTCGCCATAGTTCTCTTTGGGTTTTTTGCTTAAAGAAAACTTCGCTCCGGTCACGTTCGTGACGCATTTCGAGGCGTTTAAAGTTACCAAGTTTTCAAGTTTTCAACGGTTTTCAGGCAAAAACCAAATTGCAGCAGCGAAAACTTCTGTGTTTGCTTATAATGAGCAACGGGGCGGACAGCGTATTCGATAAGCCAACGCTTCGTCCTGGATTTATGGCCAAAAGCCAAGCCAAGCCGAGCAGCAGGAAAACACGATTCTAGTTTATAAACCTGGCAGCTGTTCGTTTGCTTTTATAGTTCAGCTTAGAGTGGAAACACATCTGAGCAGCTTAAATAAATCTGAGGATTCCTAAGCTTTAAAATAGCTACAAAAGAACTTTTATATATACTCAACAGAAATTGTAATATCAAATGTTAACTTAAATAAATTTGTAGCTTGCTTACAAAGTGGTTTATACTACATATAGCATACAAAAGAATTATATATAAATTACTAATGAGCTTCGCAAAATTTTCCTATTCAAAAACAAGACACATGTACTTTAAATACCCCAGAAAATAGTGTATATATATATGAAATAGAAAAAGGAGCTAGTGCTCAAATCTCGGCCATTATGTGTCCCTTGGGATGGCACAGTACTTCCTGCCCCAATGTCGTTGGTAACCAGGATGGGACAGGAACGTGAATGTCCTGGGCACGCCTCATTTCGGCTGCAACCCAAATGCTGACCAAAAGCCGGACAGCAAAACTCAATGCACAAAGGTTCCTCGTCGTCGTGATATGTTGGCCGAAAAAACGTGCTCAGAAAGTGGAACAAATGCATTGCTCAGCTGGCAGTCCCCTCTCTCCCACACACACTCTCTCTCCTTCTCTTCCCATGCTCATACGCGAGTCGAACTCAATTGCTTGAGTCTCACTCGAAAACCGGTTTGACTGAGCGCGTGTGCGCACGCGATGAGAGTAAAATTGAGTAAAATTTCCCTGTACTCTCGCGCACGAAGTGAGCGCACAGAAAGTCAATTTTACAGCATTCGCCTTTGAACTGCGCCAGGCTAAAGGTCGCACCGCGTGGGCGCTACGGGCGGGCCACAGACCATGTAAAAGTATCTACGTAAAACCAGCAACTGGTTTCGACCTGGTCCGAGGGGAATACCTACATTCGGCAACGCAAGGCAGGGCAAAGCGGGGCAAGGGGCTGTACAGAGGCTTGTAATTGCTGCAGGAAATTGAAATAGATGCCCGATAATATGCACTTAGCTGCTGCTACCCGAGTCATTCGATAAATGCATTAAAACTTTTCGACTGCTGCTAACTTGGGCTGCCTTGGCTCAAGCTTCGGGCAACAGCCAAACGCTTATCGTTAATTAGCTTTCGACTAATTTTCAACTTAAACATAAGTTGAACAGCAACCGGCTTAGCGTAGATTGCGCCGCTCAGATTTATGTCCACGCGATAAGAGCAAAGGTGGAGTTGGTAGGGAAACGGTGCCTTTAGATGGCAAATTGCAATTGTGGGAGCCAATGGAAAAACTAAAGTCAATTAAAATTTGAAGAAAAAATTAAAGCTAATAAATACACAATTTTTTCTCTTTCGACTTAAAGCTTAATTATTCGATTAGATTGACTGTTTAGCTTCTATATAATAGAGGCTAAAATTTATATTACTATATATCTAAAATAAAAAAAATTCGTGAAGTTTTAAATTCGTTTACATTAGTATTTTTTTATATTATTTTTTTTTTTTTTTAATTTATAAATTTTTTAATTATATTTATATTCTTATTCTTTACAACTTTGTAATTTTATTATACTACAAAAGTTTATTTTTAAAAATATTTATTGAAAAGAAAAAAGTCCTATGTCTCGCTTAAAAGAATAATATTTTTGTTTGACAAAAATGCTTTTTAAAAAATCTCTAGAAACCACTCTACTTTCATATATACTAAACATGCTTAAAACCTCAACTCACAGCAAAAGTTCTGTGAAAATTGAAAAAGCTAGAAATTGCTCCACAACTAATTTTTTTTTTTTTTTTGCTTTTTGTGCACTCAGCTAGATGTCTCATTCAATTAGACCTTTTGCATTGACCAGCTTAACACAATTTAAATATATCTCTATAGATCTTAAAAATAAAATAAGAAAAAATTGCTTTTACCAAGGCTGGCTTTCAACACTCAGATGTAATATTTATTTCATTGTTTCATTTTAATCAAATTTTATGTGAATGGAAATTAAATTCACAGCACTTGACTTGTCGCATTCAATTTGCAAATATGCTCTGTGCCACGCCTCCTACGTCCGTGAGTTTGCACTTTGCGAAGACACGGCACAGACACATGCACACACACACACACACACACATGACAATAGATGCTACGTCATGTCCTATCTTGTGAATCTACGGCAAGTCTGGAGAGGAATACTAAAGGCGAGCTGGCTGACTGGCTGGCTGACTGACTGCCGAGACGTGGCTAGTGAGGCAGAAGTTAACTTTTATAAACAAATTTACACCTTTCATTTTGCGCACGTTTTTAATATACGTATACATATACATATACACACACATATATATTTTCTAAGGAAATATGTAAGCTGTCAGTGCTTATGATGCCGAGGCATTCATGCTATATTCCATGTATGCAGATGCTGTGTGACACCAAACTAAAAGTAAATTCATTAAAAATTCCATCATAAAGAATACCTAGACAGTGGCTGCCGCAGCCGCAGCAAGAGTGAGAGCGGGAGCGGGAGCGATACAGAGAGCGAGACGGCGATGCTAAGAAAAAGTTGTGTAGATATTTTTTTGCTAACTAACTAAAAAGTAAACCATAAAAGCTGACAAGTCAAAGACGAGCGAGATAGAGTGAGATAGAGAGAGAGAGAGAGAGGCGGATACGGAGGCTGCAGCAAGACTCTCCTTACACTATACACCCTCCTAACTATGTGTATCTCACGCTTTCTATGCAACTACTCTGGGCTTTTTGTAACTGCGAGCTTCCATCACACTTCACTTACACGCTCTTTAACATGTCAACATGTCAACTCTGTCTTGGTGTCTCTCTATGTGTGTGTGTGCATCTGTGTGACATAGTGACATAATAAAATGTTACTTTATTCGTTAGTTTCAAGTTTAGACAGCAGTCGAGCCAGATAGTGCAGTTCAGTTCAGTTCATAACCGAAATGCCAGAGAGAGAAAACAACGGCATAATCCTATTAATGCAATATGCAATTGGCATGCCTTTAAACTTTATTGTGTGCATTTGCATAATTGCCCAAGGATCCTGGATTAGCATAAATCAATCATAAGGAGAGCAGCGCGAGGAGCCGACAGGCGAAATGCCTGTGAAATTGTGCAGAAAGGCAACGATGGCTGAAAGAAATGCACTGAATGCGCGCAGAAGGAGATGAATCACAGCTCAAGGCAATGCAGCCCGCCAGCCTGGCTAAGCAAATACAATTGCACAAGTCCTGCCTTTGTCTGCGACGCACATACATCTATATATGTATATGTGTATATGTAGATGTGTTTGCACAAGTATAGAGCTGTGTGTTTATCATATGTGCGCTTGATTAGCGCTGACAACATATGCAGGCAGGCAGTCAGGCAGGCAGGCAACTAGGCAGGAAACTAGCCTGGCCACAAAGGACTACACAGCACAAACTGTTGACAAACAAACAAGTGCTCATTTTTATTTCTATATATATATATATTTTTATTTTGTTTTGTTTCTCCTTGCTTTTCTTCTTGCTGTTTCTTTTGATGCCACGCTGCATATTTTCTTTGGGTACACTGGCACAACAAATACGAATACAAGCTGAGCTGAGCTGAGGTCCTGTTTGCAGCTATGCTGCTTCTGCTTGTGGCATGTTGCATCGGGGCAAAACAAAAGGCCAACTGCATTAAAGCAGTTTTCAAAGGATTTGTTGCCAGAAATATGTGCATCTTGCATTGCTTCATAAACATTTACTTACACAGATTATGCAAATAGCAAATAGCAAACAGGGACAACGGACAACGGACAACGGACGCAGGACAATGGCCAAAAGAGCAATTTAAATGCAAAAGAACATCTGACAAATAAACAATTGTGACCCGAAATTAAGCAAAGAGACTGATTATTGACTTGATTTGGCATTGTTGCGGCCTCAAATACAAACATTAACTGCATAATAGTATTAGCTGCCTGCTAGACGTCTCTTCTTTTCAGCTTTGCCTTCACTCCAGCTCTGCTTTCCAGCTTCATGAAGCTCAGTTACAGCGCTTGCTCTTTGCCTTGACTCTATGTCACGTATTAAGATAGCATTATCTAGCCTTAGACGTTCTTTTCCTGATTCACATAATTAAAGCCAACTTTTTATAATCTAGCTTGCCAACTTATTTATTAATAAAAGGGTAAAGTGGTTTTATAAAAATGAGTGAAACGACTAGAATGAAAATGAAAAGGAAATAAATTATATATAAACAAGAAAAGTTAACTGTGTTGGTCTATACACCTTATAGACCAATATATGTATATTTTATTTATTCTTAGGAATATTTATATTAGGAATATTCTAGTAAATTTAATTTACATTAAATTACTGTAATGCATATGTTTAGTTAAAGTAGACTCTATAATAAATAAAATAAAAATGTTGAGTAGAAATAGGATA